CCCCTCTGCTCTGCTCGCTTCCATTAACTTTTGCAGAAGTGATTCATTGGGTAAACAGCATTTTGTCTTTGGTAAACAGCATTTGGAGCCAGCTGGAACACGTCGTGCCCCTCAATCACACTTTGCTCAGCAGGGGGAACAGAAAGCACTGGCTCTGCTGGTGGCGAGGGCACAGCAGTGACATCTTCTCTCTCGCTGCAGCACCACAAAACAGCATTTTGTCTTTGGTAAACAGCATTTGGAGCCAGCTGGAACACGTCGTGCCCCTCAATCACACTTTGCTCAGCAGGGGGAACAGAAAGCACTGGCTCTGCTGGTGGCGAGGGCACAGCAGTGACATCTTCTCTCTTGCTGCAGCACCACAGACTCTTTTTTTCTTTCCACAGAAGTGAACCAAACCTCACTGCTGTTAGAACATGAAAGTTCAGACTCTTTTTTTCTTTCCACAGAAGTGAAGCAGCATGGTGAATATCCAAACCTCACCGCTGTTAGAACATGAAAGTCACACTTTGAAGGAGGAAGGGGAAGAAGAAACTCGCTGGGTCTCTTAATTGCAGCCGCTGCTGAAGAGCACAAGGTGGGCAGGGAGAGGTGAGGAGTCAGTACCTCGAGCTGAAGGGCAAAGCTGACACACAAGCGAGTACCTTCAGCAGAAAGGGTGACCTTGTCACACCCCAGAGCATTTCAGCCTTCCCCCAGCTGACAAGGAAGCTGCTAACGGACATACTGGGACAGCACAAACATGCACCCATCGACCACAGCGAAGGCCAGAGGGGGATGGTGAAGAGACCAAATCTGAAACGCGGTAAGCCGAGTTTTTAGAGCGGGACAGGTGCTGGCATGAACTCGCAGGTTCCTGAGGCCAAGAGGCAATCTTCACAACCTCATCTGAGGCTGCAGCGTGTCAGGGCTTCGTTTTGGTTGGCAGGACCCATCCCCACCCACCTCCTCTTTCCTTTCACCCTTCCTCCACAACCGAAAAGCGAACCTGAAGGGAGAGTCAGTCACTAAGACGACGGGACTAACGAGCTGCCAACATGGGGAGAGCCAGTGGTTCTTTCTGCCCATAAAACATGGCCAATGTCTGTCAGTGAGCCACCACCACTCCCAGGGAGCAGGCAGGATCACACACGGGACGTGACGGGCGAGAGGCAGCTTCCCCAGACATCCCCACGGGCAAGAGGAGCTCGGCGTGAGAGGACAGACTGCAGATGAAACCACATACACACCTACACAAAAGCATGGAGAGGACTCGAGCCATTTTATCTTCTCCAATCTAACGAAGAACTGGAGATAAATTCATCCAACTGGCACAGCACAGTCTTTAAAATCCAAAAACTTTACAGCTGGTTTGCTAAAAGAGATATTTTGGGGGTTTTTTTTGAGGCATTGGGAGTGGGAAGGAGGGAAACGAAAAAACACAGCTAATGCTCCTTCCTACAGCAACAGGGGAGAGAAAGTTATTTCACAGATTTAGTTTATAAGAAGTTTTACTTTCAAAGCAGAGTGAAAACCAGGATAAAAAAAAAGCAGGCTCAACATCCATTTTGTCGTAGCACACTGCTTGCCATACAAGCTGCTTTTCCTGACTGGAGCAGGCAGGGAAGTGTCTCAGGAATGCCCTGCACCCCACTGTGCCCCACTGCAGCAACCCTGAACACAACGGCTCCACCACCACCACACGCAGCACAAAAAGCCTTTCTGAGAGACCCAAGAGAAGCACAGCACCTGTAAGACACAGCAATACTGAGGTGGAGGACACCTGTAGAAACAGATCTACAGAGGGGAGATTTGGTATTAGGAAGAAATTCACCTGCAGTGACAGGACAAGGGGGTTTAAATGGGAAGAGGGGAGATTGAGATGAGATACCAGGAAGAAATTCTTTGCTGTGAGGGTGGTGAGACACTGGAACAGGTTGCCCAGAGAAGCTGTGGCTGCCCCATCCCTGGAGGGGTTCAAGGCCAGGCTGGATGGGGCTTGGAGCAACCTGGGCTGGTGGGAGGTGTCCCTGCCCAGGGCAGGGGGTTGGAACTGGATGACCTTGAAGGTCCCTTCCAACTCTAACCATTCTATGATTCTATGATCTGGAGTACTCCAAAGGAAACCTAAAGCCACAGCAGATGTTCTTTTCATCTCCATGTGCATTACTATCTGCTTGGATAGGTAAAGAAAAGCTAACCCTAGCTGCTTAGGATCCCGTTGCAGAGGAGAAGACAAGAGTGGCTCAGGCTGGCAGGTCCTCAGGCATGAGAGCACTCAGAGAGACCTCCCGAGGAAGCCATGGGACAAGGGAGATAAATTCATCCAACTGGCACAGCACAGTCTTTAAAATCCAAAAACTTTACAGCTGGTTTGCTAAAAGAGATATTTTGGGGGTTTTTTTTGAGGCATTGGGAGTGGGAAGGAGGGAAAAGAAAAAACACAGCTAATGCTCCTTCCTACAGCAACAGGGGAGAGAAAGTTATTTCACAGATTTAGTTTATAAGAAGTTTTACTTTCAAACCAGAGTTTACTTATCAAACCAGGATAAAAAAAAGCAGGCTCAACATCCATTTTGTCGTAGCACACTGCTTGCCATACGAGCCAGCTCTATGATCTGGAGTACTCCAAAGGAAACCTAAAGCCACAGCAGATGTTCTTTTCATCTCCATGTGCATTACTATCTGCTTGGATAGGTAAAGAAAAGCTAACCCTAGCTGCTTAGGATCCCGTTGCAGATGGCTGCCCCATCCCTGGAGGGGTTCAAGGCCAGGCTGGATGGGGCTTGGAGCAACCTGGTCTGGTGGGAGGTGTCCCTGCCCAGGGCAGGGGGTTGGAACTCCATGATCTTTAAGGTCCCTTCCAACTCTAACCATTCTGTGATTCTATGATCTGGAGTACTCCAAAGGAAACCTAAAGCCACAGCAGATGTTCATCTCCATGGGCATTACTATCTGCTTGGATAGGTAAAGAAAAGCTAACCCTAACTGCTTAGGATCCCGTTGCACAGGAGAAGACAAGAGTGGCTGAGGCTGGCAGGTCCTCAGGCATGAGAGCACTCAGACAGACCTCCCCAGGAAGCCATGGGACAAGGGAGCTCGCTGCCCAGCTGCAACATGTATCGCCCCAGAGCCCCAATAACCAGCCTCTGGAAGGTTGAAAACACGCAGAGATCTTGCCAAGTTCTAAGCAAGCGCTGGCTTGTCATTGTGAAGCCACCAGCTGCATTAGCACAGGGTGGCATGGTGGCAGCAGAGTCAGTCCTTTCGCGACCAGAGATGAAACTCTAAGGCCATAAAACATAGAATCATAGAATCATTGAGGTTGGAAGAGACCCTTGGGATCATCGAGTCCAACCATCTCCCCTACTCTACAAAGTCCTCCCCTACACCATATCCCTCAGTACCCCATCTAAACGGCCCTTAAACACACCCAGGGATGGTGACTCCACCCCCTCCCTGGGCAGCCTATTCCAATGCCCATTCCAATGGATGGAGCACTGAAGAGTAGCAGAGGTTTTCTGGGGGAGAACAGTCACTCCCAGAGGTTTTTGCCAGGTGTAGCTGCCCGATGCTCTCCCCTCCCATGAGCATGGTGTCATTAAGGGCTGGGATGGGTGTGAATCACCCCTGCCTCCTCTGCTTCCACCTGCAGTGAGGAACCCCTGCGCCGACAGGAACGGGGGCGTTGCCCTCCTCTGCACTCGCTCCAGCACCTCCAGATCTCTCTTGGATTGAGGTGCCCAAAATTGGACACAACACTCGAGGTGTGGCCTCACCAGTGCTGAGTACAGGGGCACAATCACCTCCCTACTTCTGCTGGTCACACTATTTTTGATACAAGCCAGAACATGGAAGCAAAGAGATCAGTGAGAAGAACTACACCATCTATCCCACCGCTCATTTATTTCACTACCTAAGCAGGCCCCCGAGGCTCTCCTTGAAGGAGTCTTTCCATCCAAGTTCTGATACGGGCAGGGGCAGGGCTGCTTTCACCGAAAGAGTGGTTGGGCATTGGAACAGGCTGCCCAGGGAGGGGGTGGAGTCACCATCCCTGGCTGTGTTTAAGGGCCGTTTAGATGGGGTACTGAGGGACATGGTGTAGGGGAGGACTTTGTAGAGTAGGGGAGATGGTTGGACTCGATGATCCCAAGGGTCTCTTCCAACCTCAATGATTCTATGATTCTATGAATTACTGCAGACTAAATCGGGAGACCGTTGCTTGAACCGACTCCAAGGTGCCTCATTTCTGTGACTAACTAATACCAAATGAATAATTTCTTTAAAAAGAACTCCAACTTGGGACTTTCAGGGACCTGCAGAAATAATAATTACGTTTGTCTTTTATATCCAACAAACATTTTGATCTATAGTGACCATTCAACGGAAGAAGTTATGAGTACAGTTGCTGGCAATTATTCTGAAGCTTTTTTTTTTTTTTTTAATACTTTTACGCACATTTTGGTATTTAAATTAAAATCAACACTTATTTCCTTCTCTCAATAAACTTTTTAAAGCTTGCCTGCTTTGACGGCGATGCCCAGTAAGAGGCTTTCAGCAGATGATGAAAGCATGGGTTTTTAGCATGTGCACACTTCTAATGAAACTAATAGGACACCACGCACAACAGAGCAAGAAGTGAACTTTTGTGAGAGCCAGGAGGATACAGGTTTAATTTCTCTTGATTCAGCAAAACAACCTGTATAATATGCCACAGTCTTGATGAAGAGGAAGTTCAGCATCGAGCTTTAAGTCTACCCCTGGAGTGAACTTTTTAAAGCTTGCCTGCTTTGACGGCGATGCCCAGTAAGAGGCTTTCAGCAGATGATGAAAGCATGGGTTTTTAGCATGTGCACACTTCTAATGAAACTAATAGGACACCACGCACAACAGAGCAAGAAGTGAACTTTTGTGAGAGCCAGGAGGATACAGGTTTAATTTCTCTTGATTCAGCAAAACAACCTGTATAATATGCCACATATATGATGAAGAGGAAGTTCAGCATCGAGCTTAAGTGGAATAGCAGATCACCTTGCTATCACACGCTGACTATCAAACACCCAAGACAAAGCCACCCTGAAATTCATCAGGGAAGAACAAACCAGAATAAAGTGATTTCCCTTCCAGGAGTCTTATTCTCTTATACTGTAGCTGGAAGATTATTTAACCAGCATTTTCCTTCGCAACTACGCAACGGATGTGGAGCAGGCATGCTGAACTCAGCTTCTTCTTCACTCAAGTGCCATGGTCCCTCGTAGGTAGGGCTCCAAGATCTCATTTCAGCCAGATCCACTTGTCACCAACATCAGCATTGCAGCCTTGCCTAAAGTTGCGACCAGGAAGCTAGAGAAAGCAGAAAGATCAGTCAGAAATATTTCTCTTCTCACTCTTTGCAGAAATTTTTTAGATTATTTATGAAGTACCTCATGGCGTCTGCAGAGGTGCAACATGAACAATATAGACAATACACATTTGCACAATAAAGTCATAGAATCATACAATCATAGAGTCATAGAGTTGTCCAGGCCGGAAGGGACCTCCAAAGGCCATCTAGTCCGACCCCCCCGCAGTCAGCAGGGACACCCCCAACTAGACCAGGTTGCCCAGGGCCTCATCGAGCCTCTCCTTGAATATCTCCAGGGATGGGGCCTCAACCACCTCCCTGGGCAACCTGTTCCAGTGCTCCACCACCCTCACAGTGAAGAACCCTCTCCTCATCTCCAATCTAAATCTGTTCCCTCAAAAAAATTTGAGCTGTGCAGCTGGAGGGGTTTGACAAAAACCACTATGTCATAATGTATATAAGAGCTAGGGCAATACGTCAACAACACAAAAGCATGTTCCACCTGGATTCATCCAATTCTTCTCTTCTACACACCCCAGTCCCCACTTTTTGTAAGCGATGACCCCTCTAATCGTAGCACGTAGGAGAAGAATTGAATCAATCAGCAGAATCTCATTCCAAGATAGGAACACGTTATCAAATACATGAAATATTTCACATATGAAATACTGAGTTAATTACTACATTAAGTTACACCATTCCAATGAAATTGCATATTTAGCCTTCGCCTTCAGAAGCTGAACTTCATGCCAACTTGCTGTACGCAAACTGGCAGAGGGCTGGGGACTGCAGTGGGAAGCCTTTCCTTCTGACAGCTTCTCAAGAGCTTGGGCTGGTTGTACAGGTCACAAGAGGACCTCATGAGGAGCTGCTGGAGCCTAGCAAGCCGAGAAACACACTGCAGAAGGAAAGGCTGGATGGACTGGAGCACTGGGAGGGGGACATCAGACGCACCAGGAAAGCTGGAGGGTCTGCACCCTCACCAGGAAAGCAAATTGTCACTGAGATGATAGGAAATGGGAGGCAAATAGCAGTAGCTTAAACAGTGTCATTTGGGAGTTGAAGGAGCTGCATGTAGACCTAGAAATAAGGACTTGTTACCTCCAAGTCTCTGAAAAGACACAGGAAACTGAAGCAAACAAACCCCCTTCCTGGTAGTCCATCTAACTGCCCAAACAGATGTCCTACAACCCAAGCTTTCAACAGGGTTCAAGGAGGATGAGGACATGCCCAGCTGTGCGGATGGTCCATCAGAATAAAAAGCTGAGCCCGGCCCTCCCAGCCTGCTGCCACGTGCAGGGGCACTTCGGCAACATCATGGACACAAAAACTGCAGCCAAACCGTTCTACCTTAAAGATCTGGGCAACAAGACTGTTTAAGTAGTGGCCATTTTAAGGGACCACAGACCCAGGACTACAAGAGAAAGACTGCCAGTATGGGTTAAACCAGCAAACTCCCCTTCCACAGCGTACCTGCTCTCTCTGCAGGCAAGAAAAGTGCTCCTCCAGGTGAAGCAGGCTCGTTAGGGCTGCAAGAGCATGCTGGTGGGACAGAAGATCCACCACAAGTGTACCAACAATGCCTCCACCAAAATAGCTTCCTACCAACTTGCTTTGCAAAAGCAGCGCCAATTTTTAGTGCAGTTTCAGGCTGAATAAAACATAAAACCAGGCTCTGTACCTGCTAGATAACCAAGGGAAGAAAAGCTGCCAGCAACAGAGCAGTGCATGGAGAAGCTGCTTTAGCAATGACTCTGCACCAAGAGTGATCCCACAGAGGAAAGAAGATGCAGATCAACAGGGTTCAAGGAGGATGAGGACATGCATGGCTGTGATCACCGAGCGATCCCACAGAGGAAAGAGATGCAGGTCCATTCCAATCTCTGAACCTCAGGTATTAAAGCAGTCCCCTTCAGAAAGCACCCATCACAGCATCTCCCACAGCATCCTCACAGATCAGTTTAGGAAGTGTGGATTAGAAGAATGGACAGTGAGGTGGATTGAAAACTGGCCAAAAGAGAGAGCTCAGAAGGTCGTGATTAGGGACACAGAATCTAGTTGGAGGTCTGTAACAAGTGGAGTCCCCCAGGGGTCAGTACTGGGTCCAGTCTTCTGTATTTTCATCAATGACCCGGACAAAGGGATGGGAAATGCCTCCACCAAAATAGCTTCCTACCAACTTGCTTTGCAAAAGCAGCGCCAATTTTTAGTGCAGTTTCAGGCTGAATAAAACATAAAACCAGGCTCTGTACCTGCTAGATAACCAAGGGAAGAAAAGCTGCCAGCAACAGAGCAGTGCATGGAGAAGCTGCTTTAGCAATGACTCTGCACCAAGAGTGATCCCACAGAGGAAAGAAGATGCAGATCCATTCCAATCTCTGAACCTCAGGTATTAAAGCAGTCCCCTTCAGAAAGCACCCATCACAGCATCTCCCACAGCATCCTCACAGATCAGTTTAGGAAGTGTGGATTAGAAGAATGGACAGTGAGGTGGATTGAAAACTGGCCAAAAAACAGAGCTCCGAGGGTTGTGATTAGGGACACAGAATCTATTTGGAGGTCTGTAACAACTGGAGTCCCCCAGGGGTCAGTACTGGGTCCAGTCTTCTGTATTTTCATCAATGACCCGGACAAAGGGATGGGATGGACCCTCAGCAAGTTTGCTGACGATACAAAACTGGGAGGGGTGGCTGACAGGATGGAAGGCTGTGCTGCCATCCAGCAAGACCTGGACAGGCTGGAGAGTTGGGCAGAGAAGAACCTGATGAAATTCAATAAAGATAAGTGCAGGTCAACAGGGTTCAAGGAGGATGAGGACATGCATGGCTGTGATCACCGAGCGATCCCACAGAGGAAAGAGATGCAGGTCCATTCCAATCTCTGAACCTCAGGTATTAAAGCAGTCCCCTTCAGAAAGCACCGATCACAGCATCTCCCACAGCATCCTCACAGATCAGTTTAGGAAGTGTGGATTAGAAGAATGGACAGTGAGGTGGATTGAAAACTGGCCAAAAGAGAGAGCTCAGAAGGTCGTGATTAGGGACACAGAATCTAGTTGGAGGTCTGTAACAAGTGGAGTCCCCCAGGGGTCAGTACTGGGTCCAGTCTTCTGTATTTTCATCAATGACCCGGACAAAGGGATGGGATGGACCCTCAGCAAGTTTGCTGACGATACAAAACTGGGAGGGGTGGCTGACAGGATGGAAGGCTGTGCTGCCATCCAGCAAGACCTGGACAGGCTGGAGAGTTGGGCAGAGAAGAACCTGATGAAATTCAATAAAGATAAGTGCAGGGTGCTGCACCTGGGGAGAAATAACCCCCTGCATCAGGACAGGTTGGGGGTGACCTGGTGGAGAGCAGCTCTGAGGAGAAAGACCTGGGAGTCCTGGTGGACAACAGGATGGCCATGAGCCAGCAATGGGCCCTTGTGGTCAAGAAGGCCACTGCCCTGGGGAGGCCCCATCTGGAGCACTGGGACCAGTTGTGGGCTCCCCAGTTCCAGAAGGACAGGGAACTGCTGGAGAGGGGACAGCAGAGGGCTACAGAGATGATGAGGGGCCTGGAGCATCTCCCTTACGAGGAGAGGCTGAGGGACTTGGGTCTTTGTAGTCTGGAGAAGAGAAGGCTGAGGGGGAATCTGATCAAGGCTTAGAAATACTTAAAGGGAGGGTGTCAAGAGGATGGTGTCGGTCTTTTTCCAGTGGTGCCCAGGGACAGGACAAGAGGAAATGGGCACAAACTTGAATAGAAGTAGTTCCACCTAAAGATGAGGAGGAACTTCTTTCCTGTGAGGGTGGCAGAGCCCTGGAAGAGGCTGCCCAGAGAGTTGGTGGAGTCTCCTTCCAAACCCGCCTGGACACGTTCCTGTGGGACCTGCTCTGGGTGGCCCTGCTCTGGCAGGGGGTTGGACTGGATGATCTCCAGAGGTCCCTTCCAACCCCATGGGATTCTGTGACCATGACCTGAAGAGCCAGAGATGGTTAGGTCCTAGCTCCAAAAGCAGAGCCTATCTCCAGAGCCTTTCTTCCTATCTTCAGGAAAGATAGACAGATAGAACACAACATTCCTCTCTGAGATACAATAATGGAATCAAGGAGCAAACCACCATGAAAAGCAAATGAGTTTTGTGAGAAAGTCTGAGGCAAGCAGAGTTGCTATAATAAAACCCTTCCTTTAAAAATAAGCTCTCCACTGGCAGCCTTTACAAATAATTAAGCACAGATCATCTGCTCATCTCCGCACAAACACTGGTTTCACACAGTAACCCTGACTTGTCCTCATGATTTTTTTCCTTTCAAAAAACTGTAAGAGTATCTTGTTTGAGAGCTGCCCCTGCAGAGAGAAGCAAAACCTAGTCTTGATGAAAACTATACCCAGACCACAAAACCAGCTAATTAATCCAGGATGAAGCCTGTTGCTTTGGGGAAGGGGGGGGTTCTTTTTTTTTTTTTTTTTTTTTATGTAAAGGTCAGAAAACAAGACACTTCTTTCCCTAAAACATCAAGCTGACAGAAGACTTCTACCTCCTTCATCAGCCGCTCCCCACCCTGCCTTGTCACAAGCCATTACAAGCCATTCTTGATCAGTTTTTCTAAAGTTCTCCATTTGAAGTCGCCTTTAATGTCCTGTCTAAATATCAGGAGAAGCCACGCAGTCCTGTTAAGAGTTCCTCCTGCTGCGCAAAGAGATGGAAGAAGAAAATAAATTATTACTATCTCTGCCCTGCAAATTTGCAGTGGTGAGCTAGCAACAACATCAGACCTGCTGTGACCAGCCTGTATCTATTAATTCTAGCACAAAACCAGCTCTCCCTGGTCCTCTCCAGGCAGCACCTAATTGGCCCTTTGATACTTCAAGAGATTCCCAGATAACTAGATTATTAAAGCAACAGGAGCTCTCTGGGAAAACACAGCTTACAGCTTCATTCCTGGGTAAACCTCCCCTCTTTAAAAGATACCATGTGAATCCCAACAATTCCAATTCATTGTCCAAAACAAAG